GGTGCCTGGGGTGACAATATTGCTATGCAGGCTATATCTGATATGCTCAGTGTGACTATCAATGTACTGTCTAGCCACTATCCAGTGTATTCAGTAACTCCCAGAAACCATTGTGCTGATAATGAAGTGTTTGTTGGGCTGATAATGCAGTACCATTATGTGGGTTTGGACAAAATACCTGAACAACCACAACCTACTATGCCAGTGCAGCCAGCACAGCCTGAAACTATTGAACCAGTAGCTGAACAGCCAGAGTCTGTTTCTGATAATGAGCTAGATGATGCCACTATTGAACAAGGAGATGAACACAGAAGGCAAATCAGTGGTGCCCCACAAGCTAGCATGATGTGTGTTGAAAACCCTGAAAGCGTTAGACATACCATGTGTGTCGCACCAGCTGAAGGAGAGAGACCACTAAACATAATGACTAATCTTACTTTTGAAGCCATGTCAAACCCAGGCAAATTTCCATGGTACTGGCACATTTAGCAGTGATCGGCCAAGAAAGCTAACCTATAGAAAGTATTTCAATCAAAGGCTATTGGATGTTGATGGCAGATTTGCTAGAGACCTTGATTATCTGTTTGTTGCACAGTATATTGCTGAGGCTAAGCAAGTGGTAGACGATGGTAATATCTTTGCCATGAGACAAAAGCCATGTAGACAGTTCACAGCTGCACAGGCTAAAAACCAAACAATACTAAGCCAGTATGTGCGAAAAGACAAAGCCTACTAATTTATGAAAAACATACGTGGCTCCCCACCGTATTACCAGCGAACATTTTATGATTTGCTAGCCATGATACGCCAGCTGGCACACCAACATGGTTTTCACATTGTCAGCAGCAGACCATCAAGTGGCCAGATATGATCCAAACCATTACTAGACAGTAATGGTGTCTATTATACTGATGATGATGTAGCTGCACTTTCATTTGATGACAAATCCAATTGGCTAAAGCGTAACCCAGTTACTCTGGCAGCTAGACACTTTCAATACACACTGAATTCACTTTCCATCCACGGTTTTCTGAAGTCCACTGCTAAGCCACTAGTGAAATTGTTGACTTATGCCATCAGAATTGAGTTCCAAGCACGAGGTTCACCACATGCACATTGTGTCATATGGGTCAAAGATGCTCCAGAGTTTGGCATTGATAACAATGATGATGTGTGTGACTTTATTGACCAGTATGTCTCATGTAAACTGCCTAACGAGAATGACAAACTAAAAGATTTGGTATCGCTACTACAACAGCATAAGCATTCTTCCTATTGCAAGAGAAACAAACTTGCCGTTTCAGTTTCCCTAAGCCACCTAGCCCAAAAACCCTCATAACCAAATTTGACCCTGAAAATACTGATGTTGAACATTCTGGAACTGTGTTGAAAAAAGTGCAAAAGCTGATATCTGATGGTAACACTGATCTAAGCCATACTGAGCTACTTAATAAAGCAGATGTAACTGAAACTGAGTATGTCGATGCATTAGAAACTTCTTGTACTGGAAATATTGTTGTACTCCAGCGTGAACCTCATGAATGTTGCATTAACAACTATAATTCTTCAGTAATGCTAGCATGGCAAGCTAACATGGACATTCAGTTTGTGCTAAATGCATATGCCTGCATCATGTACGTTGCCTCATATATCATGAAAAGTGAGAGATCTATGGGAGAACTACTTAAGCGAGTTTCTGCTGAAGCTAGAACAGATGAGTTGAGAACCAGTTGAGAAAGTTGGCTCAGCATTCCTAACACACAGAGAAGTTAGTGCACAAGAAGCTGTCTATAGAATACTGTCAATACCTATGAAACAGTTGAGCAGATATGTTGTATTTGTTAATACTAACCCCAAAAATGAGAGAATTGCAATTTTGAAAAACGACGACTCACTTAGCCAGCTAAATGAAGATGATAGCTACCAATGTATTTCAGAAAAGCCTCATTGACCGATACCAGCATAGGCCACAACAGCTGAACTCAATGTGTCTAGCTGAGTTTGCTGCCGCATATGTTGTTAACTATAAGCCAGATGACAGTATGTTTGATGCCATACCAGCTTTATAAAGTGATACCACATCTACTCAAATCACACTCACTGATAAGTTTGGCAAAATGAACGAGCGAAAGCAACAAGCTGTGATTAGATTCAGAAAGTATAACAAAGAGACTGACGCTAGCAATTGGTATAGAGCAAAACTCATGCTGTACTATCCTTGGTTTGATGAGCAAACAGATTTACTTGGTGGAAGCCCACCACAGACATGTGTGTGATACTGTGCATACCAATGAATCAAAGTACACTAAAGAAGACATATATGGCATTGATGTTGATGAAAATGGTCCACCTGAGCATATGTTGGACAATATTGCACCATCAACTGAAGAAAACAGATTGCATTCCATAGCTGAAGGTAGCGAGCAACTAACTGAGGTATCCCAACAAGACTTGCAAGATAACCAAAACATTCTCACACAATCTAGCAGGCATATCAGATTTGAGAGTGCTGCCAATAAGCAAGAAATCCCTCCTGAGCAGTATAGACAGTATATCAAAGATTTGAATGACCAGCAAAAATCCATTGTTATGTTCCATCGTGACTGGTGTAAGAAAGCTGTCCTAGCATTGAAAGCAAATAAGCCTGTTGAGCCATACCATGTGTTCCTTAGTGGCCCTGGTGGTGTTGGCAAATCACATGTGATAAAGCTGATCCATTCTGACACACTGAAATTGCTTAAGCTATCAGGAACCTTTGAACCAGATGATGTTGTTGTACTACTAACTGCTCCCACTGGTGTTGCAGCATTTAACATCAATGGCATGACATTGCACTCAGCATTACTATTGGGACGCAGCAAATACAGTGGTTTTCAGCCTCTCAGCCATGACAGACTGAACACATTGCGAACCAGACTATCACGTTTAATGCTGCTCATCATTGACGAAATCAGTATGGTTGGTTCCAATATGTTGTTTGAGATCCACAAAAGATTACAGCAGATAAAAGGTGTATCAGATGATGCAGTATTTGGCGGTGTGAGCATACTAGCTGTTGGAGATCTGTATCAGTTACCACCTGTTTGCCAAACTCCACTGTTTAGCACTGTGAGTGACTGCTATGCCCAGCTATAATATGGCTCAGGTTCATTGTGGGTTGACCATTTCCTCATGCTTGAACTAACTGAAATAATGAGACAAAGAGGTGACAGTGCATTCTCAAAGCTATTGTGCAGAGTGAGAACCAACAGTTGCACATCTGATGATGTTAAAATTCTGAAATCTCGTGAAATACCAGCAGATACAGCTAACTATCCTACCCAAGCCTTTCATGTGTACAGACTAAATGCAGATGTTGACACACGAAACTCACTTATGTTGAACAAACTAGCTCCACAGAGTGCACAGTATACCATTAAAGCCCATGATTCAGTAGCTGGCCAAACATGTCATATCTCTCTTAGCAGTCTATCTGACAAAAGATCTGAAACAGGTGGCCTTCACAGTACACTGAAACTAGCTATTGGTGCTCGTGTGATGCTAACAGCTAATGTTGACGTATCAGATGGTCTTGTGAATGGTGCTAGAGGCGAAGTGGTCCATATTGTTACTAACAATAGCAATGATGTCACTAGCATACTTGTGAAATTTGACAATAACACAGTTGGCCTCAAATCAATTCAGACAAGCCCACATCGAGCTAGATTTGCTAATGCTGTACCACTAAACAAGTATGAAGTTGTGTTCTTTGCCAAAGGAAAACGTGGATCTGAAATCAAACGTTTGCATTCCCCACTGACACTAGCATGGGCTAACCACAATACACCAAAGTACAAGGTTTGACACTTGAGAGATTGTTGTTGATATGAAAGGTGGCAGATCAATCCTGGACATGCATATGTTGCATTCAGTCGTGTAAAACACTAACTGGCCTGCATATTCTAAATTCAATAGCAAAAGCCATAAGAAAAAAGCATTGATGTGGAAAAATGAGAATTGGTTCAGTCGTCTAAATTCCAACCTATTGCAACAGTTGTCTCAGTTACATGTACCAATCATCTACACATTAACATTTGCATTGGTTAATGTAATCATAACTAGCAATTGCCAGATATTACAGCTGACCACCAGTCTCACACGATATGTGCGAGCATACATATGCTTTGTGAAACCGGCTAAATGCATCTCAGCCTTCCCCTGTGGTACTAGCACAACCAGTTGAGATCAGATGGGATAGAGTTACCTGTGAGAACAACAGAGTGGAGTTTTGCTTATGTGTTTCTAGCCAACATGAACCCATCCACATGTACAGAGATTGCTAAAACAGATGCATGAGGCACTGTATCAGCTACCATACAGTGGTACCCAACGCAAGCATGTATTCAAATAGCAGTGGTATATCACAGATCACCTAGTGTTCCCAGAGCATACAGGGTCACGTGCTGCTGACTAGACTGTTAAGACATGTAACACTGTGCAACACACCTTGGGTCATCGCTGGGCCCGATTTAATGAAGACATTGTTCACACCATCATAACTCGGCAATTTGCACTTATGTCAAGTTTCAGTTTTCCTTCAACAGCTTGTTCAGTGCCCAACAACAGCTCACAGGCACACTGAGTGACATATTATACTATCGGACACGTAGCACTCTGGCTTGTACTGTGTCTGCTATAGTCCAAGTCTTGCAAGATCTGACTACTCCGTACTGATCTGACCACTGTCTATGCAGCATTCCATTGGGATTTTGTTGAACTAGCATGTCAGCATAATTATTTTTAGCTCAAATTTGTTAAAACAGCATATTTTTGCCATATTTGTGTCAAATAGCAAGTTCTGTACAAACAAGCAAACCTAAGCAGTTGAAAGCTATCATTAGCGAAACCATGGAAACCCAGCTTCAAAACCCCTTAGTGCCTAACAAGTGAAACTCACAAACAACCTGTTCCTGTGGTCTGACTCCTGGCTACCAATGATGATGACACACGCGGCTCATGAGTTATACACCGATGATGACTGTGAACTCTGAGGTAGTCACTGGCTCTGGGGATCCTACCAAGCTCTGGGAGAGGGGCTCTAACATGACCGGAAGGTGGGAGGGACTCTGTAACATGGTGGTAAGCAGTGTTGCAAGGTTAAAGTGAGTTACACCTGTGCACCACCATAATACATATATTACTAAGCTCAGATATGTTAGTGATAATGAGTGGATGTGTAAGACATGTGACAGAGCATTAAGCGAGGAGTAATGCCATTGCAAGCTAAAGCTAATGGGTTACAATTGTCTGAAATACCACCTGTGCTATCTGATGCATTGGAACTAAGGCTACTAATTTTCCTTCATGTGCCTTTCATTTTTCCCTGTTTGGTGTGATCATTGTTCTTTTCTCTTGTCGAATTCAGGATATTGAGTCACCACCACCATTCATCATCCCCATGTTCACACGCATCATCATGTACCACACGATCTCCTCTCCCTAGCCTTCTCCAATGTTGTCCTACGGAATCCCTTCTCCAGTGACATCATCCAATCCAGCTCCTCCCCCAGTGACATATCCAATAATTTTTCTAAAAGTGATAAGTGATGCGCCCGCGAACCACCTGTGCGCACGCCGGCTTGTGCGCATGCGCACGTAGTCAGCTGTGCCACGTGTCGTGTGGTGTTACACTGGTTTGTGTTGGAGAACTATAACGTGTTGACGAACTACGTGTCGTGTTGACGTCTCAACTGCTAGGTAAGTTGTAAGTACATTGCCAGCAGGATTTCATTTCGCATTAGGATCAGACCTGCTGTAGTTGTAGTGGTGCTGTGAGTAAGCTGTTTATTGGACAAGAAAGTGATGTACATATGTAAGCTGTTTTTGATGAGCCTGGAGGGGTAGGGCTAGGTTGTAGGTTAGCTACAGCGGGTTTGTTTTTTGAGTGTTAGCGGCATTTGGGCTTCATTGATGTTAGTAAAGGCGCACGTATGAAAGCACGTGATTTTCAACTCTTTCGTGGGTATACGCAATTATTACGTAACCTATTGGCTACTGTTACATACTGGCACACAACCCGTAGCTAGTGTCGGCTACTAATGTTTCCTGTTGGGAAATCCCCTGGAATAACCACAGAGGCCTTGGGAGTGTGTCACACGCTGCATGCGCTGCCTTCTCTACGTGAACGGCTGAGGCGCCTTCTGTACCGCCGCTGAACGGCTTTCTAGGATGGATTTGCCAAGCTAATGGCTCTTTAGCAAGCAAAGGGGCTTGTCTGGTAAGCTATTTACCTCTATCTAGCTAGTGGAAAGCACAACAAAGCTAGTGTTAGGCTATTAGCGGCTTACCTTCCAGCGTTGGTACTAACACCGTGCTGTAGAAAGCTTTTCAGCTGTCATCTCTGGGTCCAAGCAGAAGGTAGCTGGCATTATCATGTAGTGTAGTGATGTAACAACCTCCACCAAGCAAACTAGCATGAGCAGGGTCCAAGAAGCTTTGCAAACAAGCTGTTTTCACGATGGTCGCCAAAAAGCGCCTTCGCCCACACACGTAGATTTACGTAGGGCGCATAAAAGCGCCTGTGCCCGAGAAACGGATATGCATCGAAAATCCCAAGAAAAGCAACTAAAATTCCCTCGCTGAGGTGCAGGGTGTGGGAACGAGACTAGCCACTCATGAACATAAACGGACTCTACTTTCAACTTTCATTAACTCTTGCATACATAATTGTAGGTCTCAGAGAAAGTGATGGCTAAGCGTTCACTAGACTTCAACGAACCACAAAGCACTCCAAAGAAAAAGTCGAAGGAAGCTACAGAACAACTGATGCCACTCTCCCCTACACATATTACATCACCAGATCGTGATGCAACAATCAATGGCATAATTGCATGTTTATCACCAGTTCGACCATCGAAATACTTCGACGGAGAACTTACGGATGGAAATACCATTATACGTTTTGTTGGCTTCCGCAAAGAGCAGAGACGACGTCTTCACTCCTATTGCGAACAAAAACAACCGATCACATTAAAAAATTGTCAAGTTCAGTTAAACAAATTCAATCACCAGCTGGAAATCCTGCTTAAAAATGATACCCAAATTGAATCATCAACAATGCAATTCTCTGTACCAGACATGAAGACTGTTGGCAGCCAGGAAATACAACTCAATGAACTTTCAGAACAGGATGAGTATGATAAGGTCACCATCAAGGCACAGGTCATTAAAGTCAATGAGCCTCAAAAATTTGGTCCAGGAAAGCTAAAGCAGGAAGTCATTATAGCTGATTCAACAGCCACTGCTAAGCTTATGCTATGGGAATCAGATGTAAACATGCTACTTGAGACCAAATCTTACCAAATGAGCAAATTAGTCGTAAGATCGTATCTAGGAGAAAAAAACTTATCAGTTCCATCTACTGGCTCTACAATTGAAGAAACAGACGACCTGGAAAATGTAATTGCACAACCCGAATCTTCAAGCGATGATGATGAATTTCTAGCAGCTGTTACTGTAGCAGGAGTGCAACAACTCGAAGCAATTTACACCTGTATCAACTGCAGGAAAGGGATGCCTGCAGCATCAAATGAAACCATGGGAATCTGTGACAACTGCAAAACGATGCAAAAGATGTCAACCAAGCGCCAAACAGCAAAGTTGTTCATCGACAACTCCCAGCAACCCATAGCTCTAAGGGAACATGATGATTTTCTAAAAGCCATTGCACAGACAGACGGACAAATCAACTCTAAAAACCTGTTGTTCGCTCCGCCTTTCGACATCAAAAACAACAAATACCACATAATTACCCATGTATCCAGGAAATAACTGAAGCAAGATCATCAATTTCAGACAACATCACCAATATCTCAGTCTCACCCCTCATCAAATCTTTCATCATCATCACAATAATTATTGTCTTTCACTCTCCACCAATGATGTCAAAAGAATTATGCCTACGCAAACCAAACTATGTGCATGTCTAAAACTATACTGCGCCGAGGGTTTGCACTTCAGTGCTCTAGTTGGGTTTGTCTGTGTGTGTGTGTGTGTGTGTGTCTGTCTGTTACTCTCAATCTCACTTCTCGAATGTCTGTTCGTCTCACAAACGATACGACCTACCTAACGGGCAATGAAGGTCAGAAATTTCGGACGGTTTTCTCTGAAAATGCTTCCTTGCAAAGCTAGAGCGCTTCCGCCATTGTACGGCTAATGCTAGTCGGCCATTTTTATCGCTTCGGAAAATGCGCATGCGCTTATATTTTGAACAGGCTCGGGTCCGCCTGCTCTGTGTATCTTGAAGGCACGAGAAGTCACAACGAAGGGCGTGTATCGACTCCCACATGCTATCTACTAGTCTACTGTAGCTAGCCAGTGTCAGACGCTACTAGCGGGAGACCACGAGTATACTACATACTAATAGCAGCCCAGCCCATGAATTAGCGGTACCGCGCATGCCCAGTTCGCCGAGGGTTTGCACTTTAGTGCTTTTCATTGGGTCTGTCTGTCTGTCTGTCTGTGTGTCTGTCTGTCTGTTACTCGTCATCTCACTTCTCGAGTGTTCGTTCGTCTCACAAAGGATACCACCTACTGAACGGGCAATGAAGGTCAGAAATTTCGAGCGGTTTTCCCTGAAACTGCTCCGTTGCAAAGCTAGAGCGCGAAAAAGCCAATATGCAAATACGCAACGGACGGGAGGGCTTACCACGGTCGGATCGATCCGCGTGCTCTGCGTACTTCGGGGGCACCAGATGATGCAACGCAGGGCGTGTATCGCCTCTCGCATGCTATCTAGTAGTGTAGTTAGCCCGCGTCAGACTCTGCGCGAGCTGGCAAGAGACCGCGAGTAACTAAACCCAGCCCACCAATTAGTGGTACGGCGCAATGCGTTTACTGACGCGTGCGCGTAACAGTGAGCGCCGAGGGTTTGCACTTCAGTGCTTTTCATTCATACGGTAGAGGTTTCTACAGAAGCAAAGACAACGAGGCACAATAAAAGTTGCGATGTTTAGAGAAGAAGGAGGTCAGTGAGTTGTAGAAAATAAATGCATACATAGTTGGCTCTAGCTAGCTGGGTAGCTAGCTATACAGTCTACCAACTTGCATAATTCCGAATTTCGCAATCTGGAAACAGGCTACAATACACGTTCTCCACTCTCCAGTAGATATGATCGGTATCTAGAAGCGAGTTCCGCGCAGGTATGTAGCGCTCAGATGTGGGAAGGCTTAGCAGCAGAACAGCTGGTCGAGCGTGACGTGTGCAGAAGCCATTGCTGACTTGCGCACGTGGATGCGCGGATCAGCGGTGCTTCTGGTGTCCAAATCCGGGGCATTACCCGACGCCTTCCGTCGTATAGTGATAAGCCTAGCTGCTAGTCTACATCTCCACACGAAATCTGTTACAATGAGTGGAGAGAAGAGCGACTCTGAGCAGCTGGTGTTTAACACTGACGAGCAGATTGCGGTGAGTCTCGCTTGATAACTACGCTTGAACGGGAACTGGACCATTACGGCCATAATATATAGCTGAGAGCCTTTTGTGGAAGATATTCAATGCTCTTAAATACCAAATGGTCCTTTATGCAGGAAAGTGTAACTGTGAGTGGTCCTGCTCAGCCTAATGACAGAACCTACTACCAAATTTTGGCTGGTGATGATCTACAAGTGACTTTTGACAACAATGGAGACAACAACTACTGGAGTTTTCATGCCGGTAGCTCATTTCCCCATGTTTCAGGTTCGTGTGTTGAGTGTTTTTAAAGATTTAACAAGCTTTGAAATTGCCTCCTTTATACATCACAGCTAGCTACAATGTTTAGCATTGAACCCCACATAACAGGGCAAAGGAGTATAGCTATGTAACTGCATGTGGCTAACAGCATTTGAATCTTGAACTCTGTTTTAGTTCATAGTAGCTACTATGGCTGTTATAGGACCACTCTGGTTCCCAAATTCAATATTCGAGCATGGCATTGGATTATGATGGCAGCAACACCTTTCATAAAACCATGGGGGCAAACATTCTACAATCTCAATGGAGCCCAGTATCTATTTTATCTACAGTGAGCTTTCCAGTTCTGTAGAAACTTCTGTAGTGCGCGCCGAGTGCGATGATTATGTTTAGGTAAGACTCTGCATGGTACAAAAGTGGTGGCGATTTATACTAAATATCGACATCTCGTGGGATGTGAGACTAGGTGTCAGTCATTAGATAATTAAACAGATTATGATGGGGTGTTGTGGGTGCTGCGAGACGGTGATAAGTTAAGGCGACGATTTTTCACACCATTGATCATTTAGCTATCACACACTCTTTGACCTGATGCCCATTACGTCGTGGGTCTGGGTTTTCCAGCAAAACATAGCATAGTTGGAAAGTATGGTATGGACATAAGTGACACGACAGTTGACTGCGCATTACGTCCCACCATGTCCGGTCTGTGTGACTTTAGCTGGCGCGATGTATGCAGTCCGGACAGATTTGTACTACTTTGGCTTAGTGACCAATGTAAGCTGAGACACTTGGTGCTGTGTGGGGTTAGATCAATGGCTATCATGAAATATAGTTCCTAGCATACCAGCCATAGCATGAGTGTCATAACATTCTCTAATACCTCGCGTAACTGCCTCTTGAAAGGATATCCCATCACACCTTTACGACCTATGCTAGCAGATGTTGCTATTAGATGTAAGAGAGTGCAAGAGCCCAGAGATGTACTTATGACATGTCTAGGCTCTGGATGGGTTTGTTTCACCCTTGGGACTATTGCAGCAATGGGTGCAGTTAGGTTCCTGGTAAGGAGCGTTCTCTCAGGTGGCGGCGCATTGCTGGCTGACAAAACACTTGCTGTTCACTATTCTATAGGCCCATACGACAGGGCGATTTGTGTCCGACCAATTTTCCACGGGGTAGTCTTGGGGCTGATGATGATACCAATTGGTGCGCTACTGTAGGTCCTGATACCCAATACCATGTGTGCCTGACACCACTAGTGACGGTTCCTATATTATCATTTCCCTAAGTAAGTCGTGACCAAGGTATTATAAAATGTGCATGCATTAAAAACCCCCCTCACCTATTTGATAATCATTATTAGTGATGTTAAATTACACAGAGCTCCTTAAAATTAGAGGCTGTGGGGGGCAATATAGGGCAAGAAGTGGTACCCTCAACCGGGCAAAGTGAGGTGGTACCTACAATCATTGAGGAATCAACCGTGGAGTCCCTAAACAATATCCAGTTTTTCAGCTGAGATGGGGTATGAATAGTATCTTAGTGTCAACTCCCCTCAATAGTTGTTATCTTCCCTCCAGCCACTGGTTGAAAATGAAGACATCATTCTTCACACTGAGTTCACATGGACACGACAGTCAAACTGATCTCAACACCTTTGGACTGAGCTTCACCACTCAAAAGATGGATGAATGTGTTGATTGTGAAACAAAACGTTACCTGCTCCAGTAAACCGTAAAAGGAGGAGTGTGGTGGAGCAAGAATTTGCAGTATCCTTTTCTGATGGTACCTCCAGAGGAGAGGGAGCTGGTGGATCTTGATAGAGCCAAGAAGAAATGTTGCTAGTGTTCTCTACCGTATGACTGGCAACTCATTAAATTGTCTGTACATCCATCAGTAGAGTACTGAGTTACTAACTGAGAGCTTAGTACACTGAGCTGTCAATGTGCATGTGAGCTAGACACTAATATTGATTCGTTGCCAAGAGGCTCTATGAGGGAAACATGAAACAACGGAACTCTTGCTAAAAGCTTAAGTGTTACCTACAATAATAGCACAAACCACCTTCCTCACCTTCAAAACCTTGACATGGTGGAGTGTAGAGGATTGGCACTAGAAAATAGATGAAAGACACCATTTTGAGGCGATACTATAAACCTTTCCTTAACCTTTTGTTCAGCACAAACACAAAAAAAGCACTGCTAGACAGGACGAAGATGTGGAGATGGGCCGTGAGGTGCTCTCCCAATTTTTTTTTATACATACCTCCACCATTGCCTGAGACACACCGTGCAGATTCCCCATGTACTGTATTGAATAAACAGACACACGATTCTGGAGTGTCATAAACGCTGTTGGAGCGTCCATATCACCCTAAGCCCTGCACTATCTCATTGGCATTGTAAACTGGTATCTAGAAATGTAGCTAACGTACTACAGCATTCCATGGAGAAACAGAGTAGTTAAACTGCATGTGGGCAGTGTACGGATGGCTACTCGGGACTAATAACCTGCTCATACCTGAGCATCAGTGGTCACAGCCTTATATTTTAGTGGGTGAAGCATATGTGACACGCTGCCTCACATAGCTAAATTGAGGATACGTTTGGTGCCTATAGCGTAGCTAAGTGGAGCAAGGGTTTTTGGTGTCTGAGGAGTGACACTCTGTGGTAGCAAACAGAGGTTTCATTACTGGTCCCTACAAGGGTCTTTCAACGAATGCCAGGGTTCCACCATCATGACTCGCTGCAGTAGAACACCAGCAATATTACCCAGCTTTCTTCATGGTGTATAAATTAGCTACACTGATTGACAGATTGTCAGAACACCTTGTTAGAACTTCAACTTTCTGTCACTGAGTGAGTGTGAAGAAAGACTCGATAATGCTTCCTATCTCTGTGGGAGGTATGTGACAGTTGACCATTCTAACTCTGGAAAGTCTAAGATCTAACCCCTTTATGGTTGAAGGCTTTATGCACTCCTGTTTATCTTTTCTCTACTTTTTTCTTCTTGTATTATACAGAAAAGAGCTCTCCCGGGTGTAGTTGATTTGTTTGTTGTGCCTCTGCCTTTCTACGTCGTAGTTTATACATAGCATAAGCTGTAATGGCACTTTTCTCAAAGTCAATTCCAGCACACTCTTTAGCTGTTATGTCTGTCCTCAGAAAGATCAATACAGTGGAACTTCAGAATAATTATACAGGGCAAGCTGGTATATGGACCCTTTTCCACCAATCAGAGGTCTGGAAGGTTTCATACAAAGCATCACCTCATCTCTCACCCTCTCCTGGAGACCTCTCCCTTGTTTACCAGTACAAGCCTTAACAGCTTCTACTCTCTGTGGACAGCTGGTACCCGTTGGTGGCAGTCAACACAGGCTATTCACATTTGTCGACTCCATTTTCCAGCTATTTGATGGAGGTGGAGATTTGCTTCATGGCTAGTAGTAGGTACTGCTGTTTGGTAGCCAGTGCATCACCCGACAAGATTATCATAGTTGGTAGAAGGCTAGGAGGTATTAATCTGGATAAAGTTGAAGAATGCATTTTCGTATAGTTTCATCCACTTCCTGAATCATCTCATAATACACAACATTTCAACTCCATTACAGTTGGACCAGTGTATTTGCACCTCACAGTGATCTGTGTGTGAACCTGAATGATGCATGGATGCATGTCTATTTCATTATGCCACCGAGTGCTCCATAAACCCTTGAGTACAATGCCATTTTCCCACACATTGTGATTTATCACATAATGCCCAGTCACAATCATGAAGGATTATGGTGTACATAACATTTTAAACCCACCCCTCCCAATTATTGTGAAGCCAGGTAGTTTAATTACAAAGTAGCTAGCTACCATTCACTTCACAAAAACGTTATCTTGTTTTATAACAGTGCCTGAGCGAAGTTATGATAGTCATTTGCTAGAACAGCAGTTGATGTAATACATAATTATGTATGCTGGCAGAGTTACTTTGTTTATGCCTCCTCCAAACCGTGCTACTTGTAGCTACCTCCTCTTCCGAGGGGTTTCAAGACGATCAATCCACTGCATGAGCGTGATTATTTTGGATGGTTTTCCCCATGATTATCTTGGATTGATGCTCTGCTCAATATGGTTTCACTCTAAGATCTGGACAGGTTTTGGCAGACCATTTTCCTACGTTCTTCTCTCTTGCTGTGGGCTGCTCCCATTAACAATCTTTCCTTTCCACCTTTGAAGTTTTGAGTTCATTGTGGTCTAGGTCTACCACACTGTAAAATGAATTTCCTGCGTTTGTGGCTGTGACTGTGCCTCAGCTTGCTTATACCTGCTTATGTCATTTTAGCTACCACTGTCTATTCCCATAATTATGCTCAAGAGTCGATTAATGCTCACCTTGTCTGTGCTTGCATATTCATTCCAGTTTAAAGCATAGTTGGTGGTGTAAAAAAGGTCCAGGAGTTTGAGAAGGCCTTTCAGGCTTGGGGTATGGCCTGAAACTAAGGTGCCCATCACCATAGCATGTACGAAATCTGAAGTGTGTCGCTGAAGAAGAGGCTAGGAAACAATTTGAGAAATAACCGGAGCAGGTAACTATATACAAGAATTAAACAAGGTGATTTAGTCAGCAGTATAATAAAAAGAGCTAGTTCAGCTTATTGATGACATCAGTGGGGAAAGCAAAATTGTCAGACTTAAAAGAAAAAAACTCACTCTGTAGTGCACATTATAACAATTTCCTTCTTGCACCAGTTCCTCACTGTCTACGTCACAGTTGGCTGATAGTCACCAGGCAGTGGAAGACGTTGTTGAAGTTATTGGCTGCCTATGAGTAGTCTGATGCCTCTGGTGTCTCTACTGAACTCCTACAGCATGCATCCTCTTACCTGTTTCAGAGTTTGTCACTTGTTCACAATTTGCTCAATTACTGTTCTTTTCACTGGTCTTGTAAAATTAAAGTTGTTTCATTGTGTTATGCAAAGAGACAGGAATTGATTCTTGAGTTATCTTCTTAAGTCATGCTGCAAGCAATGCACACACATAGGTGACCTCCTTTGCCTCAATGGAGCCATAAGTGGAACCTCCAGTTCAGTGCAAAGAAATGTGTTGTAGCTACTCAAATTTGTCCCAAATTTCGTCGCGTCATTGTTGACTACACCATCAGTTTCTGAGTACGAATCCATGTACATTTCACTATAGTTGCCCGTGTGCTGTGTATGTGCTCATCAATAGCATCTAATTACTATACTCTACCATCTAGGTCATCAACACTTTGTTGGTGTTCCGTCAGTACATGTTACAAAGTCTGTATATATGCCTGTCATATTTTGTTGATTTTTCCTTTTCTTCATGTACTGGAAAGCTGATAATAATAGAATATCAACATGCTCCCCAATCTCTGCTGATGAACCTTATAGCAGTCACATGATGTCAGCTGACATTTACATGATATATATTATACAAGTGGAAAAATCATTTCTTCACAATGAAAGGGGGATATAGGGATGGCTTGAAGCACCAAAAAGGAAGAAACAAGGGGTCATTACACAGCAAAGTTGCACAAAGCTACATGACACCATCCCTAGAATATCTTTGTTCGATATTAACCTTTGCTTATTAGAGCGTCGGTAGACGCTCTATATATAATTATAGGGATGGCACGAGTCAAATCTCACGTGATCCGCGCACAAAACGCCTAAAAACTCGTTCAAAATGACTCCCTAGGCCCTTAAAACACACTAGCAATAGTCTACGGGCCCATATCTACCTAAAGCAGTTATCGGCTTGTTTCTTCTAACACACGCACCGGATGAAGCTATGAAATTTTCTCCTCGTTCTTCTTGCTTTATATTAGATGCCTGCACCACGATTTCCGTTGTTGTAAGATTTTAATTTTTTGTAATTATCAATAATGATTTTTTGGTAATTACCAATAAAAAGTTAGATCTCACAAAAACGGAAATCGTGCTGCAGGCATCTAATATAAGGAAAGAAGAACGAGGAGAAAATTTTATAGCTTCTTCCGGCGCGTGTGTTAGAAGAAACAAGCCGAAAACTGCTTTAGGTAGATATGGGCCCGTAGACTATTGCTAGTGTGTTTTAAGGGCCTAGGGAGTCATTTTGAACGAGTTTTTAGGCGTTTTGTGCGCGGATCACGTGAGATTTGAAAACTGCTTTTCGCGTAAAACGCGGCTTACGCGATCCCGCCTATTAGCGCTTTCGTGAGCAAAATAGCGAAGACAAAAAAGGGCCATTTATGGGTCGCTGCATAGCCAAAAGGTACAGCTATCAATCGAGCATACACTCGCTTGGATCATTCATACTGTTCCCGTTTGGGAGACTGTCCTACCTTTGATGGCCTTGTCCGAACTTTGCTGTGCCCGAATCGTAACTTTACGGCAACGTCATTCCCACGGTAAAGCTCGGATAAGAGCGAATATTTTTATACAATAGTTTATGACCAAGAACTACACTTTGGTATACACAGTAGCCAATCTAGTCCTGCACAGACTTCACAAATGCGTCCGAGAATACATGGCGTCCGATTATCGGTGGCTTACTCTACATACCGCAAAAAAAAACGAACGCGAAATATTGAACTGCTCGCGCTTCCTTTAGTCGCCAAAGCGCACGCACAGATCGTGGGCGTGAATGTCCGTTGGACCGGAAAAAAAGGGGCCGACACTGCTGGTAATCTCCGTAGAGATTTTTTTTAGCTAGCTAACGCCCTTTCAGAGTGTGTTTGAACCGCACCCCTTGCGAATACCGGAGCTCCGAACGCTTACATTCAGCAGGTGACATGGAAAAGCGACTCCGAGCACTTGGTGTTGAAGAAAACCGACGAGCAGATTGCGGTGGGCCTTTATTTTCCTGCGAAAGAAGGGGGCATTTGTTGATAGGCTATGGAAGCGTATCAGAGCTGCTTAATATCCCATGGTCCTTTCTGCAGGAAAATGTAACTGTAACGGGAGCAATAAACATTACTCAGCTGACTGATGTAGAACCTGTA